ATAGTCACTAGCCACTGAACCAAACCAACGCTCCAAAGGAGTCTTCCCATCTATCACGGTGCACGGCAACCTATTCACGAGATGGCTCACATAAACCAACGCCTTAGCCTAAAAGGATCTAGGCAATCCACTCTGAGTCATCATACATCGTACCTTCTCCAGCAAGGTACGGTTCAATCTCTCAGCCATCCCGTTCTGTTACGGTGTCTCTCGAACTGTGAAGTGTCGTCTAATACCGTGATCCCGGTAAAACTGTATAAACGGATCACTTTTATACTCTTCACCGTTATCTGAACGTAGAGTCTTTACCTTTCTACCTGTCTGCAGCTTCACTTTTTTTTTCACTCCAAAAAATATCTAGGACCTCATGTTTATGCTTCATAGGGTATACCCAATTTCTCCTGGAATAATCGTCAATAAAAGTGACAAAATAGTTAGCCCTACCAAGTGATGTGTTCTTGGACGGACCCCAAACATCTGTGTGAATGTAATCTAATATACCTTAGGTGTTGTGAATAGTGGAGTCAAACTTCACTCTAGTCTTCTTCTCAAGTACACAATGTTCACACATCTCCATCTTACAGGTCTTAGCACCTTTCAATAGCCCCTGTTTCGCTAATGACTGCAGGGACTTATCTCATGTGTGTCCTAGTCTCATGTGCCATAATGTGATAGTGTCCTCTTCTGTAGTGATAGAAGCTGTCAGAACCCCTGTAACTGTCTTGCCCTTCAAGTAGTATAGGAAGTTTTCCCTGAGTCCTCGCATCACCACCATAGAACCCTTCGTGACCTTCCCTGTAGCATCCTCTAAGGTCACTCGATAACTAGTTGTCTCCAAAGTACCAAGAGAAATGATGTTCTTTGTCAACTGCGGCACGAACCTCACTTCTTTTAATTCCCTCACCATTCCATCATGCATCCTAATCCGGACTGAACAAATATCACCAATAGGGCATACATGATCATTACCCATAAGCACGACATCCCCTCTTTCCAGCTCCTCAAAGCTAGAGAACCAATCCTTCTTAGGGCAGATGTGATATGTAGCTCCGGAATTCATCATCCATTCTGTGGAATCCGCATAGCAAACCGACGGTAATGTAGGACATGAATAGCCTGAAGAATCTGAATCTGAATGCTCACCAATAGCTTTTGCAACATTCACTTCTGAAGCTTATGTAGTTTTCCTCTTATTCTTCTTAGTTTTTTCTTTTCACTTTGGGCAGTCAATCTTCCAATGTCCTTCTTCTTTACAATACCGACATTGATTTCTACCAATACTCTTATAGACACTCATATTCTTTGACTTTGAGCGGTTGAACTCGTGGCGGTTTGGATCACGACCTCGAACAGCTAATGCATCTCCCGATGCCTTCTCGGAGGGTTCACCATCATTCTTCCTCAACTCATAATTTACCAAGGCTGAGGTCACCTCCTTATAGCTAACTGTAGTTCTTCTATTGATCATAGTTAGAACAAACGTATCATAATCATCTTCAGGTAACGAACACAAAAGTAACATTGTCTTATCTTCATCCTCAACTATGATGTCCACATTGGCCATATCTGAAAGTAACTTTGTGAAATTGTTGACATGCTCCCTGATGGAAACTCTCCTCTTTATCTTGAACTAGTAAAACCTCTTTTTTAAGTAAAGCCGATTCTCAATACTCTTCGTAAGATACTTCTCATTGAGTGTTTCACACATCTTCTTCGCCGACGTCTCGTTCATAACATCATAAATAAGATCCGACGTCAAGCATGACCTAATAACACCACAAGCTCTACTGTTCATCTTCCTCTAAACCTTATCCTCCATATCAGCGGGTTTCTCTTTTAATTCAAGAGTCTCCTCCAAATTCTGTGCATCCAAGACGTCCATCACCTGACACCTCCACAATCCGAAATTGATCTTGCCGTCGAACTTCAAAACATTAATCTTCGTGTTATTGATGCTCAAACTCTGTATCGCCTTTGTAAGAGACGAACCTGATGTGCTTGTTTCTCCCATGTTGTTGATTTAACTCTTCAGATAGGAATCTTTACTGAATCCTTCAAACAAGCCTGAGGCTCTGATACCAATTGTTGTGCGCGGCGGAAGCTTCTCGGAGCGACACGAACAATAACTCGAGATAAACCATAACCAATAAGCAAATCACAACCACAGCAAGAACAATCGATTTACGTGGTTCGGCAAGTTGCCTACGTCCACGGGGCAAGGAGGGTGGGGGTTACTATTAGAAATAAAAAGAATATAAATAGAGTTACAAATCTCACCGATCAAACCCTAAAACAAAGCTCCAGATCTCTCACAATTTCCCCACAATTGGATGCAACAATCATTTCTCAAAGACTGCTCAAAATCGTCCTTGCTTAACCCTAACTAATTACAATTAGAGTTATATATCAGCTCTAAAACGAACCGGGTCAAAAACAAAATGCCCAGCCCAAACAGCCTGCTGTCGACCGCGGCGGTCGACCACGCAGGTATCGCGATCGACCGCGGCGGTCGAGCGAACCAAAAACCCGAGAGCAGAATTGATTATAGTCATGGCGCGGTCGACTGTGACGGTCGATCGAATCTCATCCCGAGACCAAAAATCACCTACAGGGTCCTCGCGGTCGACAGCCACGGTCGACCGCCTTCAGCTCCAAGTCCTAGTGGCCTTTGTGCACGTTCGCGGTCGATGTTTGTGGGAAAATTTGCAGTAGAAAGACAATGAAAGAAAAATTTGACTTGTATTTCTCTCAAAATCAATTACAATTTGGATTCCGATTACAAAAGAGAGGAGAATGATCTGGATTCTCGCCTTTGTTTAATTCTGGGTTATTCACGGTGGCGATGGAGTGCCTCCCTCGAATGCTCGCGTCGAGTTTGCTCTCCGTTGACGATCCGACGTCTTGATTCACTGGAACATGGTCTTCTCCTCACGATTTGACGTTGTGGAGAACTCTGAACGAGTTTGAAACTCTATCAAAGAGTTGATTTAACCGAAAGTCGGTTATAAGCCAAGGATGAAGAAGATCTTATTGCCGATCTCCAAAGCTCCAACCGAAGGATGAAGGATCCTCTTTTTGCTGCCAAGAAGTTCCAACTGACCGCCGCCGAAAGATCCAGCCCTGATCTGATTATCAAAAATCCGATCTTTAACTCTGTTGAGTTTGTCGTTATTTATAGGGGATTAAGGGGTGTAACCACCTCCTTAATTCGCTCCTAAGTGGGGCTAATGGGATGTAACCGCCCCTTAAATCACTCCTGAGTGGAGTTGTGATCCCCTCAGATCGTGGGAAACGGTTTTGGAACCGTTCAGCTCGTGTTTGAACGAGTCAAACGCAGGCCCGCGTTCTGACGTAAATTCTGCGTTCAAACGCAGTGTCTGGAAGCTTGAACGCATCGTCTGGAAGCTCAGACGCAGCAATTAGACGCTGCGTTTGCAGCGTTGGAATCTACGTCTGAGCTGCGTTTGCAGCGATTTGGAAGCTGCGTCTGGCGGCGATTTGAGCTGCGTTTGGCGGCGATTTGAGCTGCGTTTGGCAGCGATTTGAGCTGCGTCTGTCAGCGATTAGAGCTGCGTCTGGGTTGCGTTTGCAGCGATTTGGAAGCTGCGTTTGAGCTGCGTTCGTGGCTATGAACGCGGTGTGTCTTGATGCTGGTGTGCGGGGAGGACTTCCGCAGCTTGATTTGAAGAGACCGTCAATTTGTAGTCTTTTTCTGTCGAAGCGTTGCAAAGATCGTCATTTTGTAATCTTTACTTTAGCTCTTTGATATGCAAGAGTCGTCAGATTGTAACTCTCGATGTTGATTGTGAAGGCTGTTAAACTAGAGCTCTCATCGGTTGTCGTGAAGGTCGTCAGATTGTAACCTTCAGCGATCTACGTGAAAGTCTTCAAATTATAGCATTCTGGAAGTCGTCAGATTGTAACTTCCATCATCGGTGTTTTTATGGGGATCAGCTATCTATTGTGAATTTTTGACAGCCTACAGTCGACCACTAGTCTGCTTGGCTGATTCTTCTGCTGTTTTCCTCTACTCTCTCGCCATTTCTTCACAAACTCGGGAATGACTAGATATAATGAGCTTATTAATTATGACCATTGTTATCGGTTTAAGGCAAACGATCACCAATTACATTTTAGTGGACATGATACATATCGTCAAGCGCAATTAATGATCGAAAATGATACAAAGTTGCTTGTCAAATATACTCTTTATTAGCTGGCTAACAAAGATGATGTCTCTTTCATCTTGGGATACAAAGTTGCTTGTCAAATATACTCTTTATTAGCTGGCTAACAAAGATGATGTCTCTTTCATCTTGTTGTATTTAATATGAGCAATTGGTCACTCTTTATTAGCTGGCTAACAAAGATGATGTCTCTTTCATCTTGTTGTATTTAATATGAGCAATTGGTCCAGTCCCAATTGCGTGACCTGAAATAGAAACTGGTAGCTGAAGTGTTTGAGTATAAACTCCTAAAATTTCTTATTCTAATGTCTGGCTGTAGGAACGAGTGATCATGTGGCTATGGTTGGCATGTCGAGATCCATAGAACATAAATTTGATCATGAACATCTCAGATCCATAGAAATTCTGATAAATATAGGTTTATGCATGCACTAAAACTGATATATTTTAAATTTACGTGTCACAGTACTGCGTGCCTCTTACTTTTCTCGGATCAGATAAACAATATGTATTTGCAAACCAACGCTACACTATGATAACCTTATCATTGTTTGTTCATCTCGAGAGAGTAACTATTTGACTCATCAGCTGGACATTCACTAGCCCTGGCCAACTATCAACTACCAAAGCTGTGCCTGCCAAGTTGGCGTCATAAATGTTCTCCTTTAGCTGTTTACGTCTCAACTCAAAATGGTCCCCTTCCATCCTAAAAAGTAATTGGTCACAGTGCATCCATTCCCTTCAACATAAATTCTTTAATCTATGCACGTCAGTAATATTGTAAAATCTTAAATTTGTCTGTTGGGTCCTTAGCTATGTAAAGAATGCTGGTTGGAACGATGAATTGGTGAATCAATCGTACCCCTGGATTGAAGAGCGAATCGTCCACAAGCCAAAACTTGCACCGTGGCAAGTAGCAGTGAAAGACGGACTTCTACAAGCCGGAATATCCCCTTTCAATGGATACACCTATGACCATCTTTATGGTACCAAGGTCGGTGGCACAATCTTCGATGAGCGTGGGTTTCGAACCACTGCTGCCAATCTTCTCTCCTCTGGCAATCCCAAGAACCTCAATGTCTTGCTTTATGCCACTGTCCACAAAATTCTCTTCAATCAACCAAAAGGTGCAAATCTTACTACATATGCTTACATTCTGTTGCACCCTATCCAAATCAGAGATAGAGTAACTTAATAATTGAACAGGAAGGAGACCAAAGGCCATAGGGGTTATTTTCAAAGATGAAAATGGTCAAGAACACCGAGCATTTCTCAGGAGAGGAAGAAGGAGCGAAGTAATTGTGTCATCGGGTACACTTGGCAGTCCTCAGCTACTAATGCTGAGTGGGATTGGCCCCAAAAAGGATCTTAAGAGGCTGAACATACCCGTGCTTATCCATAACATGCACGTAGGAAAAGGATTATCCGATAATCCCATGAATTCCATCTTCATACCGACCAAGAAACCTGTCGAGCAATCCCTCATTCAGACTGTTGGGATCACCAAGATTGGCACTTTCATCGAGGCCAGCAGCGGGTTCGGCCAGTCCTCGGACAGTATCCCAAGATTGGCACTTTCATCGAGGCCAGCAGCGGGTTCGGCCAGTCCTCGGACAGTATCCAATGCCATCATGGCATAATGTCCGCTGAGGTTTAACATTCATTTTTGTTCAATTTTCTAATCATGCCATTTTCGTAGTTTAGTTATTGATAGATCTTATATATGTAGTATCATTGTTTTAAACTCACTGCCACTCTAGTTCTATTTTTTGCAGATAGAACTCAAGAAATTTTAACTCTTTTATTTTTTCAGAAAAAGAGAAATTGTTTTTTTTTTTTTGACATTTAGATCCCTGAGGGTAAAAGAGTCAAAATTTCACTCAGGGCTCTATTTGCAAAAATAAAATAAGAGGGATAGTAAGTTCAAACAGAGATACTACAAGGGGGTCTATCCACATTTCTTTTCTTGAATAAACAGACATTTGCTTGCATGCCAGATTGGGCAGCTCTCGACCCTCCCTCCGAAGGAGAGAACTCTTGCAGCAGCCAAGGAGTATGCAAGAGCTAAGAAGGACCTCCCTCGTGAAGCATTTCAAGGCGGGTTCATACTAGAAAAGATCGATGGCCCGCTCTCCAAAGGCCACCTCACTCTCATAGATTCCGACGTCAACACTACTCCAAACGTCACCTTCAACTACTTCAAGCATCCCTATGATCTTGAACGTTGCGTTTATGGAATTCGTACCATTGAACGAGTAGTGCGAACCAAACACATTGCTGATTTAACCAACGACTACGCTTATTCGAATGAAGTGTTGCTTAATATGAGCGTGAAGGCTAATGTGAACTTGATACCTAAACATACTAATGATACAGTGTCTCTTGAGCAGTTTTGTAGGGATACTGTGATTACTATATGGCATTATCATGGAGGGTGCCATACAGGGAAGGTGGTCGATAGAGATTACCGGGTTATTGGAGTTAATGGGTTGCGGGTTATTGACAGTTCGACGTATGTGAATTCACCCGGGACAAATCCTCAAGCCACAGTCATGATGATGGGCAGGTAAATATCACTGTAAACTATAACTCATACCAGAGATGGATTATCTTAATTTGGATTCCTAAACTATTTGTTTTTTTAATGAACAGATACATGGGGGTCAAGATGCTGAGGAAGAGATTGGGAAGAGAAGCAGGGGTGTGAATTTGCTGATTGAGGTGTTAATTTGTTGTGTTTTACGTGAAAGGGACTAGATACTGTACTATTCTTGCTGTAATTCGGCTTGAAGCATATGTGTTGATATAGATTTTTGTTTGTGTTTTTTGAGTGATTTAGATATTTGTTAGCGTTGCAATAAGTGTTCTTCCTTTTTTTTAATTGATCTAGTAGAACATTTGAAAAATGAATTTGAATCATCTCCACTACAAAGTGTAGTCGAGAGAACACTACGTTAATCTCGACCGTTGATTATTTAGTAAGCGGTTGTGATGCAATGTAAATCTACCACTTACGATGCCCTTTGTGTATTAAACTCATTTCTAATTTATACTTAAAAGAAGAAACCGCAACCACTTATCAGATAATTAATGATTGTGATTATGTAGTGGTCTCTCCACTACAGTGGAGAGGATAGAATCAGACTCCATAAGTTTAATCCAAATACACCATAAATCTCACCCACAAAAGCTTTTACCTTCACACATAATGCAATGACGGTGTTTTAATTCAAAGAGCTAGCCTGACGAAGATATTAGGAGGAAGGCTTCATGTACGTTTTGTATGCCTAAACATATATATTTTTTGTTTTCTTTTCTTTTCTTTCTTCTTTTTTTCCTCTTCTCTATAAATAGTAGTCCTCTTTATTATCAATATATCATTTGCCAAGGCATTTTCTCAGAGAGAGAGGGAGAGAATGTATAATCCTACACCATTACGAAAAATAGAACTGGGCTATACTCAGTCAGAACTCAGAAGGCTTTGCTTGGAAGCAGATCTTTACAAACTTTTCTTTCTCTATTTATTTTCTCATTATAATTCAAGTTGAGCTACTAAACTAATTAATTCTAATTATCATAGAATTCATCCCAATTTTTAGTTTTCTATGATGATTTTTTAATTCACATTTAAAAAAAAATCACATGATGCATTTCTCAGTCTTGAAATATTAGTATTAGCAGAAATTCACGAAACTAAAGAAAACTAAAAAAAACTTACGGTTTATGCTGAGAGGTTGCAAGGTTGCAAAATTGCAATACTAACTGCGTTATTGAGCTTTATTGGAGCAACAAATCTCAAAATTTACTTGCAATAAATTGTAGTTAGTTGGCGAAAATAATTCAATATCAAAGTAGGGAAAAGTAACTTTTATAACCAGGGTTCTTTTTCTTAAAGAACAATCTTATTATCAGGATTTCAGACTAGTCACACTAAGAAAGTGCGTCAAAAAGTTTTTTTTAAGTAAATAAATGCATTATTATTGCTGCATCAATGCAACAAGATAGTGTAAAATACAAGCACTATAAGTAAAGAAAATAACAATGCTAAAAACTAAATCTAACACAAACAGAAATCAACATTCCTTAGTATTTTAGTGGGAAAATCTAGATTATCAATGAAAGTGGGTTCAAAATTTATAGCAACATCATGGACAAGAAAATTACCAAAAAGGAAAAAAAGTAGCGTGACCGATGAATATCAAAAAAGGAGATTAGGATGAAAGAGCAAAGTATTCCAAAATTATCAATAAAATCTAATTGATCACATTACCAAAATGCACAAATATGTCTCCAAAAAAAAAAGGTAAATAATAATAAAAGGAAAGGGGCAAAAAAGGCTTTAGGCCCAGTCCTTCCCGGGCCAACACTAGATAAAGCCCATTATCTTCCATCCGTCGTTAAAATACCAAATCGATCAGTCTCGAGTCCAATCAGAACCCTTCTGATTCTCTCCGGGGTTCTCTAAC